CAAACCTTCATCAGCCCACTTATGACTTAGGGCAGAACTGTGTGTGGGATTCCTGGGGTTCTTATTGGTGTGGTTCTAGACTACCTAACCATTCAGCCACCTTTAACAGAGGTGATTCCATGTGCGCTGCAAGCTACTCTCATTATACCCTCAAGTGGCCTGACCTGACATCATTCATTGCTCTGGTGTGTTCTAGAACAGAGCTAGCTAGACACAGTGAACACTCATTCTTCAAGTCAGGAAGCTCAACAGTGATAAGTAATCATAGCTGTAATTCTGGCCTCCCTCCTCATCTCTTATTGAGCCCCACCATGCCTTACCAGAATCCAGTAACCTGGACTCTTTTTTTTTTGCCAGTCCTGAGGCTTGAACCCAGGGCCTGGGCACTGTCCCTGAGCTTCTTTTGCTCAAGGCTAATACTCTACCACTTGAGCCACAGCACCCTTTCTGGCTTTTTTGTTTATGTGGTACTGAGGAATCAAACCAAGGGCTTTATGCATACTAGACAAGCACTCTACCACTAAGCCACTTTCCCAGCCCCCTGGAGTAATTGTTTGAGTGCACCAGTACTGAGGTTTGAAGCCAAGGCCTCAAGTTCTTACTTGGCTTTTTTTGCTCAAGGCTGGCACTCTACCACTTGAACCAGTTCCACTTCTGACATTTTGCTGGTTAGTTGGAGATAAGAATTTCAGACTTTTCTGTCCTAGCTGGCTTTGATCCTTGGAACTTAGCCTCCTGAGTAGCTAGGATTACAAGTGTGAGCCACTAGTGTTCAGCTTCACAGAATCATTTAAAACAAGGAGCACACTTAAGCTATACTTAGAACAAATGGTTTGGTTCTCAGAAGGTACTCTGCCTTTGCAAAATTTCAATAAACACTAAGGATTTCTGAGGAAGTCAATATTCCAATCACAACTCTGCTGACGATCCAGAATTTCAGCAGGTGAACTGAACTGTTCTCCACAAAAATAATGTTTCAATGCCCTGGGCTAGACCTATCTTGTGGCCTAATAGACTTACTTAGGGCTGAAGAAGAGTAATAATGCAGAGTAGGAAGAAATGTCTGGTGATGGCAGTTTCTGTGTCCTTCACTTGCACCTTGGATACACAAAAGAGAATCATAAATGTGTAGAAGATGGTGAATTACACCTGACATAAACGGTTTATGAGAGAGGAGGAAAGATTTACTTTGGCTGATGATTTCAGAGATCTCAGTGTATGGTGGGCTGGCTGGCTCCATCGCTATGGGCCTGGGGTAGAGCAGAACATAAGAGTAGAGAAAGGGGCTGGGAAGGTGGCTCAGTGGTAGAGCACTTACCTTGCATGCATGAGGCCCTGGGTTCAATTCCTCAGCACCACATAAGCAAAAAGCCAGAAGTGGCGCTGTGGCTGAAGTGGTAGAGCACTAGCCTTGAGCTGAAGAGCTGAGGGACGGCACCCAGGCCAAGAGTTCAGGCCCCATGACCAGACCCCTCCCCCCAAAAAAAAATAGGAGAGGAAGTATGTGGCAGAGAAAGGAGACTGCTCCCTTCATCAAAACCAGGAAGCCAAGAGAAGAGAAGAGGAGAGAGGAAGGGTAGGGAGGGGCAGAAAGGTCCAGGGACCAGATAAACCCTTCAAATGCATACTTTCACTATTCTACTTACTCCACCTAGGCCCAGCTCCTAATAGCCCACTCAGCTATTACCTAAAGAATAGATTCATCTATTGATGAGCTACAACACTAGGTCTGGTGGCACATGCCTGTAATCCCAGCACTCAGAAGACGGAGGCAAGATTATCAGTTCAGGCCAGCCTCCTCTGTCTAGTGAGACCCTCATTCAAAAACAAACAAACAACAAACAGCTGGTATAACTGGCTCACATCTGTTAGCTACATAGAGGCTGAGATTTGAGATTGCAGTTCAAAGTCAGTCCAGGCAAAAACTCCATGAGATTCTTTTTTTTTTTTGGTCCAGTCGTGGGGCCTAAACTCTGGGCCTGGGCGCTGTCCCTCAGCTCTTCAGCTCAAGGCTAGTGCTCTACTGCTTGAGCCACAGCGCCATTTCCGGCTTTTTCTTTTTGCTTATGTGGTGCTGAGGAATCGAACCCAGGGCCTCAGGCATGCAAGGCAAGCGCTCTACCACTGAGCCACCTTCCCAGCCCCCCCATGAGATTCTTATTTCCAATTAACTACCAAAAAAAAAAATTCCAGAATTGGCTTGAGGTGTAGTTCAAGTGCTAGAGTACTATCCTTGAGCAAAAAAGTTCAGGGACAGTGGGGCTCACACTTGTAACCTTAGCTACTCAGGAGGCTGAGATCTGAAGACGATGGTTCAAAGCCAGCCCATGCAGGAAAGTCCATGAGACTCTTATCTCCAATTAACAACCAGAAGTGGTGCTGTGGCTCAAGTGATAGAGTACTAGCCTTGAGCTGAAGAGCTCAGGACAACACCTAGGCCCAGATGAATCAAAAGAAAAAAGTTCAGGGACAGAGCTCAGGCCAAACTCAAAAACCAAAAATAAATAAATATGTACATACATATATATATATATATTGTTTCTATTGGTAATACAAATTCAAAGTTAAGTGGTCGCGAGTATTGTGGTCCAAAATTAATTCCTATGACTAAACATGTTTATTGTATATTTCTGGCCAAACATCTGTGTTAAACTACTGTAAGTAGGGCTGGGAAGTTGGCTCAGTGGTAGAGTGCTTGCCTTGCATGCATGAGGTCCTGGGTTCAATTCCTCAGCACCACATAAGCAGAAAAAAGCCAGAAGTGGTGCTGTGGCTCAAGTGGTAGGGTGCTAGCTGAAGAGCTGAGAGACAGCGCCCAGAGTTCAGCCCCCAGGACCACCAAAAAAAAAAATACTGTTAAGTGTACAGGTGTCTTAACCTCCTTTTCATTATTACTGTAAGCAGAGAAATCTTTTCCTTGGAGAGAAAAGAATTTCCTCCTTCTTTTTTTGGGGGGGTGGGGGGGGTCTGGTATTGGGCCTGAACTCTGGGCCTGGGCGCTGTCCCTCAGCTCTTCAACTCAAGGCTAAGGCTTTATCACTTGAGCCACAGCACCACTTCCGGGTTTTTTCTTTTTGCTTATGTGGTGCTGAGGAATCGAACGCAGGGCCTTATGCATGCAAGGCAAGAGCTCTACCACTGAGCCACCTTCCCAGCCCCTTATTTATGGGTTTGTCAAACCATTGTTTCACTCATTAAAGAGGTAAACAAGCCACCATTTTATTATTTCCTGCTAGGCACCAATGGCTTATTCCTATAATCCTAAGTATTCAGGAGTTTTAAATCTGAGGATCCAGGTTTGAAACCAGCCCAGACAAACATGAGATTATCTCCAATTAACTATCCAAAATCCAGAACTGGAGACATGGCTCCAGTAGTAGAGTGCCAACTGTGAGCAAAAAAAGTCAAGGAAGAAACCAGGCACTGGTGGCTCATGCCTGTAATCCTAACCACTCAGAAGGCTGAGATCTGAGTCTCATGGCTCAAAGCCAATCCAGGCAGGAAGGTCTGTGAAACTCTCCAATTAACCACCAGAAACAGGAAGTGGATGTGGTTCAAAGTGGTAGGAGTGCCAGCTTTTAGTACAAGCGCCCATGCCAGGACACACACACACATGCCACCACACAACACAGAAAGTGTTTCAGGTTACACTGTGAAATGCTATTGAGAGAATCACTAACTACTACAAGAAAATAAAGCAGAGGTAGGGAGGGAATGAACAGTGACACAATTAGGACGCATCTGAACCAATCAAGCAGGAAAATGCTGGAAAGGCACCTCATTTCTACTTTTGCTTCCTTTCTTTTGGTCAGCCGTGAGTCTCGAACTCTGGGCCTGAGCACTGTCCCTCAGCTCTTCAGCTTAAGGCTAGCGTCCTACCACTTGAGCCACAGCACCACTTCGTGTTTTCTGGTGGTTTATTGGAGATAAGAGTCTCACAGACTTTCCTGCCCGGGCTGGCTTTGAACGGTGATCCTCAGATCTCAACCTCCTGAGTAGCTAGGATTACAGGCGTGAGCCACCGGCGCATGCTCACATACATTCTTTAGTTTTCAAAACAGCTTCCACCGGAAGGCAATTCCACATGGCAGCTTTTCCTCGGCTCTACTCCAGGGTGTTCCCCAAACTTCAGCAGCAAGGGAGTCCTCGATCGGGGTCTGCCGCCGTGCCCATCAGGAGATCGGCTGCCAGACTGCGGCTGCGCGTAAAACCTTAAACTTCGGAGCCACGTGGTGCTGGTCCCACCAAAGACCGAGGCAGCAGGCCGACCGGGCGGACAGCGCGGGAGCGACTGCCTCCCGACCTCCCCGGAGCGGCCCAGAGCCCGGATCCAACGCGGCTGAGAATGCGCAGGAAGACAACAGCCGCCAGAAAACACTCCACCTCATTGGCTAACCCTGCTGTCCTTCCCGGCCTCCCGCCCCCTTTGCTCGCGGGCAATGTTTTCATTGGCTGTCTTGCACTCTTATTGGTCAGTTCTTCTGTTCGTTACATTCTGCGTGTGAAATAAGGCCGAGAGGGCTGGGAATGTGGCTTGCCTAACATGCTGGGAGCTCCGGGTTCGAGTCCTCAGAAAAAGCCAGAAGTGGCACTGTGGCTCAAGTGGTAGAGTGCTAGCCTTGAGCAAAGAAGCTCAGGGACAGCGCCCAGGCCCTGATTTCAAGCGCCAGGACTGGCAAAAAATAAAAATACAAAACAACAACAAACAAGCCGAGAGCTCAACAATATTGGAGCTGGAAGCTCCGCCTCCCCGAGCCGTGTGCAAAAACAAACAACCGTTGAGGAGGCGTTGCCACGGGGGCGGGCTTCTAGGTAGAAGAAGGCTCCCGATTGGCTAACCTCTAGAGTTCAAACCAGCAAGTCGAACGGCCATTGGTTGTGATAGTACTAGGCGGGCCTTGGGCATTGTCCGGTTTTGGCGGCGGCCGGTGCTGAGGGCGGCGGCGGCGGCGCGGGGTGGTAGTGGGTGGTCCCGCGGCCGAGCAGAGTCTGCCGTGACCATGGTAAGGGGCGCCGAGCGGGCGCGGCGCCCGGCGTCGGTGCCGTTACTTGAGTCGGGAGTTGGCGGCGCCGGGGCAGTCAGCGTCCCGGGGCCGTCGCGCCCTGCGTGAGCGTCGGGCTGGGTCGTGGGGCGGAGCGGTCGGCGGCCACCTCTTTTCTGGGGTGCGCCTGGGCGCCGTCCCTCAGCTGTTGGGCTCCAGGCGAGCGCCCTACCGCCCACAGCGCCACTTCCGGCTTGTTCTGCTATGTGGTGCTGGGGAATCGAACCCAGGGCCTCTGGTATGCGAGGCAAGCGCTCTACCACTGAGCCACCTTCCCGGCCCCGGCGGCGAGCGGGAGGAGAACGGCGCTCTGCGAGGCGGCACCGCCGTCGGGCGCTGCGCCCGGCCGCCGGGGCCGGGGCCTGGTCGCTTCGGAGCGGGCCGGGCGCAGGGCCCCGCTCCTCTCCTTCAGGCCCGCCCGCGAGCCGGCGATCTCCCCAGCCCCCTGCCTCCGCCCCGGCTGGGGACTTGTTCTCCTCCTTCTCTCTCACAGCGTCTTCCGCTCACTCTGAAGAATAGCGTGCCTTTGAACGACTCAAAGGCGACTGAAATCCGATCCCCAGCCCCCAGTTGATGGAAAGGACGTGCCGGTGGCAAGGTCACAGTCTGTGTCGGTGCAGTGGGTTTGACATAACCCAAACCCGAGCCGCCAGCCTAAAAGTTAACCCGAAGCCAGTACTTCTCATGCCCGACCTGTGTCAGGTTTTATTCTTTCTCCCTCTTGAGGATAGCACGGGTGGGATACAGTAGACCTAACACCCACGCCGTAAGCAGACGCCTAAGCCCAGAGGACGCACGTGTCGGTTCTTGTAAATTATACAACTTCGGTAATTTTTTACGATTTGTATTTATTTGGTGCAGTATTGAGGCTCGCACTCGGGGCCTGGGCACTGTCCTTGAGCAAAAAAGCTTGAGCCACATAACCCAGCTCTGGCTTTTTGTTGGTTAGTTGGATATAAGTCTCAGGGACTTTCCTGCGCAGCTTGGCTTCAAATCATGAATCTTAGATGTCAGTCTCCTGAGTAGCTGGGATTATAGATGCCATTAGTACCCGGCTTAAAATTTCTGTGACATAATTATTGTTATTGTTTGTAGTAAAATAACTTTTCCAGATGGAGGAATAGGTTGACAACTAAATTCATTTGGTCAAGTTGATGATTTTACTGATCCTCACCAGTGTTGATGTTTCTCAGACTCCAATGATATACTGTGTTGTATATCCATTTAGTAGTAATTAAAACTCAAGCCTTATGATAAAAATACAAGAAGCAGGGCTGGGAAGGTAGCTCAGTGGTAGAACGCTTGCCTTGTATGCATGAGGCCCTGGGTTCGATTCCTCAGCACCACATAAGCAGAAAAAAAAAGCCGGAAGTGGCGCTGTGACTCAAGTGGTAGAGTGCTAGCCTTGAG